ACTGGATAGGATCAAGGCATTATAAAGCTTTATCACATATATATCCAAAGCTCTTCTAAGCCACTAGACCAAAATACACAGGGATGTGAGTCTAAGTAATAACTCAATCTAAAATAGTAGTCAGCCAACTTTTCTCTGTAAGGTATTAAGTACCCTGTAAGGTATTAAGTTTTGTGGGGTACATATAGGTCTCTGGCACTCTCCAATTCTGCTGTATTTCTCTAATAAAGCTTTAATTTAAATTCTTAGCCCTTAGACCATAAGTTGCCAATATTTGCCTTAAGAGAGATTCATGGGCCAGGGATGTAGCTCAGCGGCAGAAGTGCTTGCCTGGCAAGCCGGAGATCATGAGTTTGATTCCCGGTACCAAAAAAAAAAAAAAAAAGACTAATGTGCTTGAGAGCAATCTTATCACATAACTGGCAATTGTGTTCATTCTAATCTATAACCAAGAAAGAGTAACTCCAAAACTGTTACTCACTGAAACAGAATCATAGAATCCACTTACTCACTTTCTCCTATTCATATAATGAATGCCCTTCAAAGGTAAAATAATATTTGGATGGGAAAAGCAATAATCACTATCCAATCAAGTAAATTCCTTTTTTTTCTTTTTCCCCTCCCTCCTTTTGCACTACTGGGAATTGAATTCAGGAACTCACACATTCTAGACAAGTACTCTACCAGAGTTCCATTCCGAGCCTGGTTTGTTGTTGTTGTTTTGGTTTGGTTTTTGTTTTTTTGAGACAGAGTCTATGTAGTTCAGGCTAGCCTTGAACTCATTATGTTGCCCTGGCTGGCCTTGAACTCATGGCAATCCTCCTGCCTCTGCCTCCTGAGTGCATATTCTTTTTTGTAGATATTACCATGTGTAACTCTAATACTGCAAAGTATATACAACTTCCATCTGAGCATGGTGGTGATGCACACCTGTAATCCCAGAACTGGTGCAGAGGGGGATTTTTTTAAAAAGCTGTCATATGTACATGTAGCCACTCAAGATGATTTAAACTGTACAATCTGCAAGCATGTACTAATAAAATTTTTAAAGTGCATACATATAACTATGTTGCTTTCTCATTTTGCATTAAAATCAAGATTTTATACTGCCATAGATCCTATCATTATTTTTGATAACTCAATACTGTTAAAACTGAGTATAATAACTGATATTGTTTTGTTCAGAGGTTTGTAACTAGGAATTACCATACCTTTATCTTTTATACTACATTAATGGAGGACATTTGGTAATTAAAATTTATCTTTACCACAAAAATTTAAAATATTTTTAATAATCCTTGTAGTAATTTGAAAAGGGTATTTATATAAACAGATATGCTAGTGTATACACATACCTGCACACACTTAAACACATACCCTTCAAAGCTCCAAGGAAAACTCAGTCCTTGGTAAAACTATAAATCAAACTGTTTGGAGGCAGCAGTGCAATTCAATGTGGAGCCCTTTCCTAGCCCATGTATGAGCCCCTGTGCTGATCTCTAACATGGCGAAGTATAAGATAAGCCAATTAGACTAAAAAATTTTAAATCTTCTTAATTAATTTACCCCCCAAAAAAGTAATGAGAAAGAAGAATTTAAATTAAAATATGCATCACAAGATTTGGAATTAAGGAAAAATTTTAACTAGAATTATGTAATGTCTTAAATTCTTTCCTTATTGAAAAAAATAAACCTTTTACACACTGTAAACTATCCAATAAAATAAAGCAATTTTCTTTAAAGATTCTAAAAGTGGAAACAGAGAAATGCTTTAAGAAATACTATTAACTTCCGTAGTAAATCATTTCTCATTGAGAACAAAAGCCCCATAATCCATTATATGTATCATTGCTTGGAAGTCATGGCCAATTAAATAAGACTAAACAATACAACCAGCAGAAGGTAATAAATAAAACTAAAATATACCATGCTATTGGCAAAAAGACAATACAGCAAGAACATTTTTTCACAAAACACTTTATTAATATAATTGCTATTTTACTTAGCTTTTGGCAACATTAATAAAATAATTTTATCTGAAAGAACAAGCGAGCAAAATAGACAAGGAAATTCACAAAATATAACAAAATAGTAATCTGGACAGATATTCAATATATTTGTAAACAAAACAAGCTGACATTGCCTTAAAAAAATATAGAACTATCAATAGAAAAACAGAAAGCTCCTGAAAGACTCACTTCACTATATTATTTTCTTTTAGCTGCAGGCACAGAAATTTTCTCAAGCTAGCTCAATTCTAAGAAAGAAGCAAAGCCCTTGAGGATGATTCCTTCCTAGCTTTTTTGTGAAAATCTAGGAATTTTAACCAGATTAGAGAGGGAAGAAAGGAGTGTGGGGAGGTAAAGTGCCTTTAGGTAGAAGGAATAAGGTTTGTTTGTTTTTAATCAGGGTATATTTCTAGTTATTCTAAGAACATTTGTAAAGCTCAATGAACCAAAGAAAGTGTCAAGCAATTAAATGAGGTAGCAAGCCATGCAGGCCTAGAAGAGCACTCTGAAAAAAAGAATAGCATGTGCGGCCTTTGATCGGGAAAAATGTGATTTACTTGAGGAATAACATGGTCAGTATGCCAAAGCAGTGCACTGATATAGAAAATGGTACAGAAGCATGGTAGAAAATGGAACAAGAGGTAGCAGGGGCCAAACCACTGGAACTTGTAGTTGACAGTAACTGACAATTTGTACTCCTTGGGAGCATGCTTTAGTGAAACAGCGAACAACAGTGGTAGTCTTAATAATACTGAGTAACTAAGCAATCACTAAAACATGGAACTAAGACATTTCATTTTTACCATAAGAACTGACTACACTAAAATGTGCAGATTTATTTATACACGGGAGTTTTCACCAGAAAAACTTAAGACAAACACATACACACACACACACACACACACACACACACACACACACCAAACTAAAACAAACCATTTTTTTTTTTAGCTAGAAAAAGTATTCAGTATAAAATTTTGGCAACATGTTTTGGCCCAACTAATCAAATTGAAAAGGCCTAGCAAATTGTTCAAGGTGCAGTTCAACTGACCAGTCAATCACGAAGCCCATACGTACATCCAACAGAATGTACTTATACCTTAAATTATCTGTAGTTCCACCTTGTGTTTTGTTTTGGGATTTTTTTGCCTTTTGAGACAGGGTCTCACCATGTAGTTCAGGCTGGCCTTAAACTTACTATGTAGTCCAAGCTGGCCTTAAACTTGTGGTAATCCACTAGGCCTCCCAAGTGCTGGGATTACAGGTAAGTACCACCGCACCTGGCTATAATTACCTCTTAGCAGCTTTTTGTGAAAGCTTAGAAAATTTAACCAGATGAACAGAAGAGAAGGGGGAAAACAAGGTATTTTTAAGAAGGAATGAAAAAAAAAGTGTTTCTCGAGACCCATGTCTACAGCCAGGATACTAGATTCCTTGACAGGTGGACACCTAGGTTGAGGGCAGAGGAACAAAGAATGGTACTAGAACACACCCAGGCAGACAATCCTGGGAACTCACAGAAGCAGCCAAAGCTGCTTAGGAACCAATGTTCAGAGGATACTCCACAGTTCTGTGGAAAACCCCCTGGGAAAGGCAAAGATAAAAGGTTCCTCTATGACATAGTGACAGGATAAATAACAGCATATATTAACTCTAAAACTTCATATTTATCAAGTCTTAAAGTCACCAATAGATAGAACATTTCTTGCACACTAGAGTGCTTCAAGTAAGACCCAAACAGTATCAGTGTGATCAACTGGAAAATTACATGTACACAAAAGAAAAACTATTAAACTATTAACTGTAATACACTAATGCCCAAGGCAAGATACAAAACTCCAAGCATCACATGTTCAACTAGAGTAAAATATACATGTATTAAGAAATAGAAGGAAAAGCCCTGCAATGAATTTAATTTTTAACCAGTCTCCCTGGGCTATTTTTGTCCACTGTACCTGTTCTTGGACAAGCCCCCATGCCAGCTTAACAGTGGGAGAAATAAATTTAGCCCAGTCTATTAACTACAAGATACCATTTGTATGGCTCTTTTCAGTTAAAACTATGGGTCCAGTACAGTTTAAACTCTGGATGCCAGGGCTTCTTTCTCTTGGGAAATGTAACATGCTTCACTGGTATGGTTAAGAAGTGTATGGCCACTTCATACTCTGCTAGTGGCTAGACAGAGGGAGAGGCAAAAAAATGAATCTGATTTCTCTTTAGACCACTCAATGGAATTACTGCTGCTTCTTCACATGAACCTAAGGAAATACAATAGCTGTTTGAGTCTGCAGGAGTACATCACCAAAGGTAGGCATTTTGTTAGAATCATTTTGCTTCCCTGGATTCTCTTTTGTTAAGTAAAGACACTCTGAGGTAGTTTTCTACCTGAGCACCAACACTGCAGTAAATATGTTCTTATTATCAGCTGGGACAAGGAACCACTGTTCTTCCTCAGTTAACCTCTGCCCTCCTGGGTCTCCATTCATGCCATAGCTTCTTCAAATCCACATAAAAGATTTCAGAACCAGTTGTTTTATGCCAGCATCACAGAGATACATCTAGGGAGTTCAAGGGCCAGGACATAACAAAGGCATTTTAATCTGAGAAGAGTTTATAAAAAAAAATCTGTAATACACTGAAAAAGTGGAAAATAAAATTAAATACTTCAAAAACTATAAATTCTGTATATAGAAATTTTCAGTGTTAAGAGTAACATGAATACCAAATAAATAAGTTTCCACTTTTGTTTTCTCTCAAAAATACACACAAAAACACCTGTCATGCATTCAATCACACAGTTAACATGAAAAAAGGTAATATATTTTAAATAATACCTGAAAATTCAGAAAAAACAATACTGCAGGAGCCTAAGCCCTGGGTTTATCCCCAGCATCAAAGAAAACACAAAACATACACAAAATAAAACTGCACTATCCTCCTTGGCAGGCTGGGGCAGGAGGATCACTGCGAGTTCAAGGCCAGCCTGGGCTACACTTGACTTCACAATGAGACCCTGTCTCAAAAAACAAAAGGTTCATTACCATGAACTTTTAAAAAAAGAATCTCAATTTACTTGTTTCTAGGTTTGGTGCTACTGAATAATGTATGACTTGTATTTTTTGTTTTTAGAGGGGTTTTTGCTTTGGATTGAAAACTTTAGTTTTGGTTTTAAAAAACTTAAAATGAATGGATTTTTTTGGAAATTCTGCTTTTAGACCTGAGGGGAGATGGTTCCGATTCAATTGTGCTCACAGTAATAGATGCTACTTTCACTGAGCCTGGTAGACTAGGTTCCAGTGACACCTGAATAACAACTTTCGTGTCAGGAGGCAATCCTTCTAGTTGCTCAGGCTTCTTAAACATCTGATGATACTGAGTCTTATGCTCCATTTTCTCCTTAAAAGTTAAAAACTGAAGCCGACATTTAGAACACTGGTTAACACTCTTTCCCCAGTGTCGCCTATAATGACACACATATGGTGCTGCAGTTTTGAAAATTTTGAGACAAAATGGACACAGTAAATTCTTAGTGTTTTCATGGCATATTCGAAAATGTGTTTCCACATCAGTGAAGGCCGATGACCTATAATTGCAAAGCTGGCACACATAGGGCATTTCTCCAGGTTTATGATTGTCCTTCATGTGTTGTAGAAGAGCCTGATCTGTTTCAAATGACAACTCACAGATTTTACAGACAGCAGAGGGCTCCTCGGTAGTGTGTACACTTGCAATGTGACGCAGCAACTGGAAGGGAGTGGGAAACTGCCGATAACAGTGCTGGCAGGTAGTGTGCTTTTCCCAGCTATCCCCCTTTTCCTTCTCAAGTTCAAAATGGTGTTTCATGTGGTTCATAAACTTAACATTTTTCAGAACTTTCAAGCAGCTGAGGCATTTAAAGGTTGAGTGAGTCTTCGGTTCTGGCTGCCCATTTCCTTTATGTTGTCCATAGTAAAAGTCACTAAGTAACAGGATCAGACTTCCTTTCTTGGGATCACAGTTCTTATTTTGACTTGCTAGACTTGAAATTTTCACCAATCCATTTTCCGTATCAGTATTTATATTTGTAGGCTTGAAATGGACAATGTCCTTTGGAAAAACTGCTGGAAAAGGTGCTATATTCTGTATATGACTTAATGAGGTATGAACATCGTTTGAGGGTGTACTTTGCTGAAATGCCAAGGTATGAGAATTAACTGAAGCAGACAGGGCTGAAGAAATTCCTCCTACAATTCCATCACTTAGTTTAGGACTTTTAGGATTTATGCTATTTACTTCGGAAGTAGAACATCGCTTTGATACACAGGGACTTTCATTCATATCGTCTACTGAAAGCACTGTTTTTACTGGATGCTGCAATGAACTTGTTAATATAACCAAAGGAGAATCTAACTCTGAAGAGCTACTAGGCACAACTTGTGAAGAATTATTTTTATCAACAAATTTAGACAAAGGTTCAATAATAATAGGACTATCTGTTGATCTTGATTCAGGTGAAGAATCGGATAAGATAGTCACTGTTTCAGATGGAGAGCTCACACAACTTGTAGACTCAACTTGCAATCGTTTAGCAGTATTTTTTCTGAAACGACCATACTTTTTTCTCCTTGAACACGAACCTGGAGTGACTCTGTTCAAAATGTTTGAAACAGTTGGTTTTGAATTTGATTTCACGCCAACGAAGATCAGCTCAGCATCTTCATTTGCATGTTCCACCCCAACAAAGATCAGTTCAGCATCTTCATCATCCTCTGGTTTGGTTTCTCTTGCACTCTTCTGTAGTTCTGGTTCTGGGTCTTGGTCTTCACGTAACAAACATGGTTGTTCCATTTTCCAATTTGAGATGTGGCCGCAAGTCTCAGTGCTTCCTTTATATCATCTGCCACCTAAGTACAAACACACTACACATTAGTAAATATACAAAAAAAATTATCTTTTTAAATTCTGTAAAACTCTGAGGTAGTTATAAATATCCTTATTTTACAGACAAAGGCACTAAGATTCAAGGAGAATAAGTAGCAACTTAAAATTTATGATCAAAAATAAAAAGTCTGTTTAATCCAGAATCAGTTTCATAGCTTTGCCCTAAACTGATTATACTCTCTTGCACTGGAAAAAAAATTCTCTAGCAACTATCACTAGGTCTAATCGTATGTAGAGGATAAGTATTTTCACAAAGGCAACACAGTGCAGTGTTTAAAAACATGGGCTTTGGAGTTGGAGAGTAAGCTGGAATCCTCAATCAGCCACAAATTAACTGTATCTTCATTAGCAAAATTTTTACTTCTAAGTGTATTTCAGTTATTTTGAAGGCAAAATTTCTTATTTTTAACAGCTATTTTTTAAAAGCACCAACTACTCTAAGGCAGTTTGTTTCAGAGTTGAATTAGAGGAAAAACATATTAAATGCTCATATCTCAATTGATTCATACACACTAATTTTATAAACATTAATATGGAAAAAAGGTATCAAATTTATAGACTGAAAGTACACATAGCCAGTGTTATGATTTGTGTCTAGATGTCCCCCTAAAGTCTCATGCAGTCATGAGGGCAGGCTTCCAGAATTTTTCATTGATTTACAGTTCAATGCTGGGATTATGGGTGTGAGTGCTACACCCATCCTGGGGTGGATAGCCTGCATACAATATAAGGGAGGGAAAGAGGCTGCTTGCCGCAGCTCCTCCCATTTTGCTCTTGCTGCTGCTGTTGTTTTCCACCGCCAGGAACTGTTGCCCTCTGCCTTGTGCCACTCTGCCTTTGATCCAGCCAAGTATGGACTGAAACCTCCACAAACTGTGAGCTAAATAAACCTTTCCTTCCTTAACTCTGTGCATTGGGTATTTTGTCTCAGGAACGAGAAAAAAGTAACCACCACAGCCAGCAAATAGTATAGTGCAATCTCAAGCACTAAGTATATGGCAGGCATACAAACTGAGAATTAACTCTCTCAATAATATCGCAACTCATGGCCTTAATTATAATCCATGCATTGATGTTTCTTAAATTTCTCTCTCCAGTCCTGACTTCCTCACTAAACTTAAGTACAACAGGGCTTCCTCCTTCAACCCCTCTGTCTCTTTTCCACATGGTATGCAGACTGATTCTGTTAAACCCAGTCAGGGTCTATCATAGTTTAGCTTAAAACTCTTGAATAGCTTCTGATTTACCAAAGTTAAAGGTTAAGTACTTCCAACTCTTGCAAGACCATGCTTATAATCCCACATACTTCCCTACAGTTATCTCGTTCTTCTCTTCCTAGCCATTTCACTAACTAGCCACACAAACTTCCTTGCTATTTCTTTGTTTTTGTTTTTTGATACAGGGTCTCACTATATAATGTAGGCTGGCCTTGAACTCATTTTCTAGCCCAGGCTGGCCTCAAACTCACAGCAATCATCTTGCCTTAGCTTCATAAATGCTGGTGTTACATGAGTGCACCACCATGCCTGACCCCCTTGCTATTTCATGAGTACACTAAACCCTTTACCTTGCTTAAGACCCTTATATTTGTTGTTTCCTTTGGTCAGAATAGTCTTCATCCAGATACCTGCAGCTGGCTCCTTACCACCTTCAGGAATCTGTTTTCCCAAGCACCCTTCTCAGTGTAGCCTTAAAATACTTCAGCCAACCTCTAATTTGTATTGTCAATCTCATTTTTCTTCTCTTTCACCTTCAACTCATATAACCATTTATCACGTTATAAACTTTACTTACTGTGCTCACATCGCAGCACATATACTAAAACTTCACTTATTTATCTTTGATTCTTTTCACTTTTCTATCCAGTATTCCAAGGTCAGGGACTGTATTTTTTTTTTTTTTTTTTTTTTTTACAAAGAACAGTGCCTGCACAACACAGATGCTCAGCAAATAGAAAATTTGTTGAATAACCCAATAAATTGCAACTTTCACTAGTACAACTTTGTGATAGCCTCAAACCAGTTCTTTTGCAGATATCAGTCTTCCTTGAGTAACTTATAAGATTACATCTTAGATTAGACCAGCACCCTTCTGGTTTCTCCTGCCTATCACTCACTTGGTTCCACTGCCACTCCTTCAAAGTCCTCTGCTTTCTCATTCACTCTCTATGCACAACACTCTAGTTCCTTCCTCACCAGTAACTCTGCATATGTGCTGCCATAATTTAATGCCCATTAAATACAGACCACTGGGGAAAATGGTAGCTTCACAGGAAATTAGAGGAAACATTTATATTCCACCCTAGGGGATCTAAGTAAAACAAAAACATTTTTCAGGAAAAGACATAGCCCAGTGGTAGAACATACTTAAGGTAGTATACTTAAGGCAGTTAGCTTTAATCCCCAGGACTACAAATTAAGTAAATAAATAATTTTTCATCAACATTTCTAATAAATACTTTTCTTCATAAATAAGCTCAGGATAGTATAGCAGTATAAAACAGAATCAATACTAGCCTAAGAATTATAAAGGGAGCAACTATTAAACCAACGTTGTTCTTTGGGTCAAGAATTTATAGATCCTAGGCTGAGCTTGGTGGCACACGCCTGTAATCCCAGGACTCAGGAGGCTGAGGAAGGAGGACCATTGTGAATGTGAAACCAGCCTATGCTACACAGTGAGTTCAAGTCCAGTCTGGACTACATAGTGAAACCCCATCAAAAAGAAAGGGGAAGGGTGTTCTTTAGAGATGTGATTAAGGATCTTGAGATGGGAAAAGTCACCAAGATATACAGGTACGCCCCTAAGTGCCATTGAAAAATTCTTTCTAAAAGAAGCAAAGGAAGAGTTCACACATACATTAGAAGATAATGTGAAGATAAAGGCAGAGATTGGAGTAACAAGATCAAAGAGCATCACATCCACAGACTGGATAGCACAAGAAGTGAATTCTCCCCTAGAGTCTCTAGGAAAGGCACAGGACTGCCAATATCCATCTTGATTTAGATCCAATGAAATTGATTTTGGACTTTTTACCTCCAGAACTAAAGCAAAATAAATTTTTCTTTTTATAAGCCATCAAGGTTGTGGTACTTTGTTGCAGCAGCCCCAGGAAAATAATACAAGAATGACTGCTAATAATCCTTAGGGTTGATGAAATGTTCTGGAATTAGATACTATTGATGATTATACAATTTTATGAATAGACTAAAACATTCTATTTCATACCCTAAAATAAAATCAATTTTATTTTATGGGGTATTAATCAATATTGATTAATTTTATGGGATATGAATTCTATCCCAGCTAAGGGAGGAAAATGCCTAACAATAAGCAGGTATGACCACTGGATTAAAATGTGGATTGACCTGGAGCTGCGGTGACTGGCAGGAAGAGAATCAGAGACAGGCTCCCGTTCGCTCCATTGACTCAGAGCTACAGCAGCTAGCAGGGAAGAGGTCCAAGACAGGCTCCTGCTTCCTTTATTGACAGGACTCACAGACTGAAGACCAGTGGGAAAGCCAGAGGCACAGTAGGACCCCGGCTAGAGTGCAAACGATAGACAGGCGGGACTAGTGGTGCAGAAAAGTCCAAAGCAACAGTAACAACTGGAGCCAGCAGGTGGCAAGTTAGGTGAACCAGCTTTGTGCTGGAGGAGGGAGACACACTGCATAGAAGTAGGTGGGTAGTGCCATCTTCTTTACTTTTCCCTATTTTTTTTCTCTCTCTTTTTTGAACAGTTGTGGAGAACTCCAGCCACAGAAAACTAATCCCATCCCTCAAACCCAGAGTCAAAGATCAGACCCACACCCAGCACAAATCCACCTGCAATCATGGCTACAGTACACATTCTAGGATCAGACTTGGACCTACCACAGAACTGTCGACACTGCAGGAATCTCACTACTTTTATTTTTCTCTGTCTGATGGGCTTTCCCCTTTGTAGTCTGCTGGGTTACTGTCTTTTGTTTTGCTGTTTATTTTTATTTCTGTTGTTGTTGTTTGTGTTTTTTTCCCCTTTTCTCTTTTTCTCTATGTTCTGTTTTGCCGTTTTCTTTTTCTTTCTGTATGGTTCTTATTTTTCCATGTGTGTAATTATTTTTGTTCCTTATTATTTTATTTTTTCTCTTTTTTCCTTTTCCTTCTCTTCTACCTTCTTTTCCCTCTTGTTCATGATTTAGATGCTAAACTTTCCCTTTGTATTATTCCACTCATCCTTTTCCTCTCTTTCAGCAATCTTACTTGATTTTATGAGACTTTCATGTGGGTAAACACTGTCTCTTCCCCTTTCTGGTTCACTTAAACATACTTAGGCTTTCTCTTCCAATCCCTCCCTCTTGTATCATACAATTACCCAAAACTTGGATGATCATCCTATGCCCACCAAATTTGCTCCTAATATATTTAACCCCATCCTAACCCCTACCCCTCATAATGCCCCCTCCCCCTACAACAGGGTACAATCACTCTACTAAGTGGAAAAACACTGTATACAAGTTCCTGGTATAAGTTAAATTGTATTATATAACTATAGAACTTGTTCCTACAGTTAAAGATATCAGGCCAATAGTTACCACAATTTGTCAGTATCCAGACTAGTGCTTGAGTCTATTATTATTGCTAACTGTACTACTTTAACCAGGATGCCATAACTGTTATAATCAGTTTTTTCTCCCCTGTATGACAACACTGAGATTGCAAGGGTTCATAGCCATCACCATAGTCCAGTACAAAAGAAACAGGTCTTGAATCAAAAAGAGAGCAGCTCCACATTCTTAATATATTAGGAAGGTAAGTTCTTGGGATAGACAGAAAGACCAAGAACCAACAACATCTAAAAGACATCCTTGAGGAACAGACATCACCTAGGAAATCCTTAACACTTTGCTATTTAACATAAGAATCTACAAGCATCGAGACAGAAAACAAAATAAAATAAAAAAATAGAAAATGACAAGAGGAA